TCAAAACTTGGGGGTTTTAGCTGTTTGTAGCACAGAAAATATGGTAGTTGATTGTTTATTAAAACAATCTGGACAGACAATTCTCCACAAATTAAATTAATATGGTTTATTTGCGATGCGTGAATTAGCAGATAGAAATGGCTGCGTGTAGGAGAGGGAGAGAGAGAGCAGAGGGAAACTTTTCCTCCTTTTCGTCCTTCACTGCTAACGAGGCAGAGATGGAGCAAAAAACGTTGCCTTAGAGCTCTGATGTCACCTTAATCACACTAAAAGGGATTAAAACACCAAGCAGGATACAGAAGGCATTTTTAATCCTCCAAAGTATATAAAAAAGTTAAATTGTACTGCTGCTGCACCCCCTCCACTCATAAGCACATTGAAATTCCAAATCTGCTGCTCCAAACCTTTAAAGATCACTTCATAATACGTGTTCCATCGCTTTCATTAGTATTAGTGCATTACATGATTACGGTGTTCAGTGATAAACAGCTCATGAATGCAAGTAGTGAGGGCTGTGGTTTGATTAGATATTCTTGGCAATTAAGTGTTTGCAGCTCGGATTCCAGTTTTTAAGCCTAGTAGGAAAATGTGTTGCTGTTTTTTAACATGATTGCTGGGATGAGATATGAGCAGTAACATTCTGTAATTACCTTAGCCATGTTAAGTGTTTTGCTGCATTGCATTTGTTTACCCATTAAAATTAGGATTTCAATCAAAGGTAGTTTAGACAGACGACTCCGGTCTAAATGTTGAAACACAGCCAGCATACAAGACGCTTTATACTTCAATCTTATCACTGCACGAAAATGCTGATGGCTATGTTATGTTATATTATGTTATGGAATGATGAGTGCATCTTTACTCTGTAAAATTAGTGACCTGTGTGTCAGGAAGGGAGGGGAGGATATCTGACCTCATAGGAGGTCGATGGGTTTGGGGGGCTGAAGAGAACAAAACAAAACAGGCAGCAGCAGGAGAAGCAGTGGTCTAAAGCTTTTACGCCGGAATCAAAAAGATAATTTCAAAAAGAGGGTGTCCCAAATATATGAAAGAGTCACTATGTGCAGCTAACAGGCTGCACATAGTGCATTACACAGGCTGCATTACACCTTAGTGACTGTGTTGGTTGCTTCCTTAGGGGATGGGTTAAATGCAAAGGTAAATTTCTCCAATATGTACGGTGGCCCTGAAGTGCAAACTGCAACTACAAATCTAAAAGCGCAACTACATTAAGAAAAACAAAACTACGTAAAGCAAAGCGCAACTACATTAAGAAAAACAAAACTACGTAAAGCAAAGCGCAACTACATTAAGGAAAACACAATTACATTAACCTACTGGAAAAGGTTGGAAACATGAGACATCGCTGATTGGACGACGGCACCGTTTGACCCTTGAACCGGAAGTTGCGTCGTCTGAACAGTCCAGCTTCTTTTAAGTGTGTCTTCAGTGTACGCAAACTAACTGAAATTTGGTGATTAGTCTTGAGCATATCCAGTATCACCTCGTACATATGTCCTGATTCAAAATATTCCTGGATAACGGCAGCTATGTTTGGGGCGCCGACAATATCCATGTTTTCAAAAGCCGCAGCAGACAGAATGACTTCCGGTTCAAGGGTCAAACTGCGCCGTCGTCCAATCAGCGATGTCTCATGTTTCCCACCTTTTCCGGTAGGTTAATGTAATTGTGTTTTCCTTAATGTAGTTGCGCTTTGCTTTATGTAGTTGTGATTTCCTTAATGTAGTTGCGCTTTTAGATTTGTAGTTGCAGTCTGCACTTCAGGGCCACCGTAAATATGAGATTAATAAAGTGTTATTTGCGGCTGGTTAGCTCAAGTGGTAAGTCACTTGTCCTGCAAACATGAAGCCTGGGTTTGTATCCCAGCTGGAGGGAATGAGCTGCCAGTGCAGGTCCTTAGACAAGACCCTTCATGCTAATGCCTGTTTGGGGAGTGGCAGCCTATTGGTTAATGGTTAGCTCACCCACAGACTGCCACTCTTTGCCCTGAGCAAGACCCTTAACCATGGACAATGCTCCCCAAGGGGATGAGTTAAATGCAGAAAGTTAATTTTATTGTTTTGTACTTGTGACAGTGTAATGACAATAAAAACACTGAAAAAAATGCGCTTGATGGGCTACCAGATACTAAACTAACTTAACAGTAAACCCTTTCTGCTCCTAATTAACAAAAAGATGTGTCTCTCCACCTGAATCAGATTATTAGGTCAAACAGAGCTTGGCTGTGTGCTGAGGAGGTTATTCAACAATTTGATTGGATCAGGGACATATCATAAAGTTGAAGAATGCCGGCCCTCGAGAACTTGAAATTAACATCCCTGCCTTAAAAAACAGGAGGTTTTTTTTCTTTGATATACATTGTTTGCAGTGATCAGTGATGAAGGTCTTTACAGCTGACAAAAGTATCTTAGAGAACTGGCTGGTTTAAAAAAAATTTCCAGTGCTATCTTTGACCATTATTTGTATGCTGCTCAAGGTTTTTGAGGTAAAAATGCCTCCTTGTCTAGCCTAGTAAACTAGCCCCACCCACCAGCGGCCAAAATCATTTTTGCCCGCGAGTGGTCTACCCAATTCGCCGTTTTATTGACAGGCTGTTTGTTTACACTCCCCCACCAGCTTTCTATCGCACTTACTGCATCACAGTCAGTTGGGCTCATTGGTCAGAGCGTTGGCCAATAGACACAGACATGGTTTGAAAAACAACGGGTTGTTCTCATCAACAACATTACGATGTCTCATTCATCGGGGCCAGACTAGATTACACATTTAATCTCCCATTTAGTCTGCTTTATCAGGCTACTCCTTGTCGTAATCCTAATCTTTAGCATCTTCCAACAGAATCTCATTTGAAATCTGGTCAGGAAACCAACATTTTTAAATTATTATTAGAATCTAATATATAATTTGATATTTCATATGATGTATTAATATTGGTTAGATATAATTATATGACTGATTTTTATTACAATTTACTAGAATATTTATTACAATATAATATAGCAGAACACCAATATTGCCCGTCAGAACAAGCAAGTAAGATTATTCATATCTAAATCTGATAAGTTTCTAGATACTGTTGGTTTGGACTTAATTAAGCTATGTCTTTATAAAATAGACAATTGATACTCCATATTTTTCTCCCTCCTGTAATTACAGCAGTATTAAAATACTTATTAAATGAATACACCCTACTGACCTATTATTGCAGCTATGGGCCAAATCTCCGTCTAATTCTTGCCTCTGGTTGAGTTTGGTTGGCATTTTCAGCCAAAATATCCCATCTGAAGCAGCCCAGAGGGAACAGTGTGCATCGCCACAGGTCAGAGTTGGTTGTCTTCATTGGAAATGCATACGAGGTGCAGTTGAGGTGACCTATTTCATCCAAGCCTGACATCTGTGACAAAACAAAGATTCAGACATAAAAACTAATTAAAAAAATAGAAAACATTGTTTTCTTTTAAATTTTTTATCTTTTAAATCATGTATTATCATCTGTTTCTACCAAGCTTTTGAAGGCCCTGTTTGTTAACATAATACTGTTAAAAATGCAGACACCAATTTAAATGTAACCCAACATTCTTAAAATATGACAGGATTTCTATTTTAACTTGTTAATATAGGTCGGGAGTTCAGACATTTACAGTTTTATCATTTTAGTTTATGCATTTCATAGAAGAAGGATCTATAAGTTTTATAAAAATTTAAAAAATGTGTAAATCTAGAGCTTAGCATACCTAAAGCTATATAATCTAATATTAGCAGCTGTAGATGAAGTAACAAACAGTAGTACTTGAAAAAAATATTGATACTCATATTCAAATCTTGCTCAATTACAAGTAGAAGTTACTCTTTCATAATTCTTTAAGATAAAGTTTTGAAGTACTTACTTTTGAAAATAATTAAGTATTCAAAAGTACATGCATTTAAAAGTACTTAAGTATTCAAAAATACAAATTACATTTTTCAACATTAGTACATTTCTGTATAATTTTAAGAGTAATTAAAAAAAAAAAAAAACTTGTAACTTTAAGAAACCATCTGATGCATTGATGCGTAATCAGAATAATTGAACTTTATTGATCTCACGCTGGAGAAATTTACTTCTGCATTTAACCCATCCCCTCGGGGAGCAGTGGGCTGCCATTGTGTGGCACCCGGGGAGCAGTGTGGGATTAAGGGTCTTGCTCAGAGACCCAGAGTGGAGGCTGTTTGGATTAAACCGTACTTGCAACCTTCTTAGAGCACAAGCGCACTGCTCTGACCACTAGGCCAACAACCCCACTACAACCACCTGCTACAGATTCTCCACCACCTGTAATGAGCTTCAGCATAAAAATGGGACAGAATAATAAGGACGGATATTTAGATTATTATTTCTTACTAGAAAACAAACCAAAAACAAAACATGAGAGTCTTGATTCTCCTCACACTTTTACTATGGAATAGAGGTTTAAGGTTGAAACTATTAAAACATAGAAACCGCATCTCTGATTTGAGAACTTATTCTACTGAACAACTTGGCCACACGGCTTTAATAAAATGCATAATTAGCAAATAATATATGTCCTGAGTTTCTTACATTTATGGAATTTCATGCAAATCTCTAAAATGTTGGTGTCCAAATTCAGTCCTAGGGTTGCAATTTGCCATGTTCAAATTGTGTTTCAAGAGAGAAAAACAGCAACAATGGATTAAAATGCTAAGCTGAGCTAAAAGGAACAAGTAACTAATAGCTTCCTAGAAATGTAGCAGAGTAGAAAGTAAAATATTTTACTTTAAAATGTAGTGGAGGGAAGTTATAAATGCTGGGTAGTATTAGTGAAAGTCACAAGTTCCTTTTGCTTTATTTTGAATGTTCCACAACAGGAAAACTTGCAGTTTTCCAGACCTACATAAGAAAAAGGTTTATAATTATATTTCATTCTGAAAAACCAAGTCTGAAATTTTTCCTCTGACAACCTTTTCCTTCTACAACACAGGCGATAAAGACATGGATGATTACTACCCAAGGAAACATCTTCATCCTGACTTTGGTGGCCGGGGACCAACCCACATGGTGAAGTTGAATGCTGAACCTCACCAGCATCAGCAACACCAGCAGCGCCAACGACCTCGACGGGTCCAGCGGGCCATGTCACAGGACCACGTCCTGTCTCCTCCCCGAACGCCACGGCGGGGAGATTATGGTTTATCATCATACAGCGCCATGGCAGCTACGGCATATGGAAGCAGCCGTAATCTCTCAAACGAACAACTGCTTTCTGCAGACCGCCTACACTCCCAGGATCCATTGCTGTCCCCGGCGATGAGGCGTGACAAGTTCCGGGAGAAGGCCATGGCACGGGCAATGTCTCACGCTGACATGTTAATGCCTACCACACCGGTCATGGACCGCCACAAGATGACCAAGATGCACTCTCAACCCAGTGCCTCCACTGACTCGTATAACACGCTGATGGTCAATCATCACTCTGGCACGTCCACATCAAAGAGGCAGGCGTTTGCGTCCCGACGAACACACACGGTGGACCACCTACAGTACATTCCCGGGCACCACCACACATATCGCACTGCCAGTAAGAATGAGGTAACTGTTTAACGACAGCGTCGGGCAATTCTTGAAATGCATCATAAATATAAATGGACAAAATCGGCATCCATTTCATGAAAACTCTTCCTATTGCTTTTTAGCACGAGCTTTGTGTGTGACCCAGAGTTTGGATGACTTGGAAATACCCTGGCAAGACAGTGTTTCTCTGACAGCATCATAAGGGCTTTGCGCATTGACACAAAGATCCTTCTTGTCGGCCGCATGACAGAGTGAAGAAATATTTTTTAAACTGAATAAAGGACTTGAAGGGAATTGTATCACCTTTCTAAACATATAAATAAACTATATTTACTATTTGTATTTTCAGTCTTTGTTATAGCTTTAGAGATTCTCATTAACTGATATTAGCACTTCAGTTGGTGCCTCTTAAAATTGTCCCATTTCAACAATGAAGGGGATTTGTGGGTTAAAAAGCACAATGATGAATTCCCATTTTTTTGGATTAAGTTTTTCTCTCCTTCTTTGATAAACGTCTGGAACATATCAGCTTAGACTATAAGTAAAGACAGGCTATTTTCTGTTGCATACTATAGGTGGTTGTATATAGGCTGTTCAGCTTCATAATACAATAAAAGTTGGCCCTCTGGACTTTTTTCCCAAGTGGAATGGATTGGGCGTTTCCATTTATTAATTTTGATTTTAGATAAGGAAAATTTCCCAGATTAGTATTATTTCCACCGATGTCTGATAATTATGTGGATCTAATATGGGAGTATGTTTTTGTTTCTCTTCAAACCGTGCTTGTGGCATAGAATGAGTCTGTATGAAATTACTGTTTGATTTTTGCTGGATTTTAATTATTTGCTCTGTTATCAATTGGCCAGTTGCTTTCATCTCTACGAATCGAGCCCTCAGTGTTGTGGATTATGAAGGCAACATATTTGTCTAGTGTTAAGTTTGACAGAAACAATCAGTATAAAAACGTCATGCTTGATTGACGAGATGTCACTTGTCAATCAAAAAATTATTAAACTGTGAAATGTTTTTCCAGTGTTTTTCATTAAAGCAATGCCTTATTGTATAGAATACCATAAGCTCTTAAATTAACATCGATGCTTCTCATGTTGTCTCTGTTTTTTGTTTTCGTAGTGTATTTATAAGGTTTACCAGCAGAACCAACAAGCAAAGGAAAAGTAATCTTCAAGAAGTTTGATAGGAAAACATTCAACAGTTTAGTATTTTTTTTACTACTATTTTTGGAAATCTGTCCAATTGTACGCATAAAATATTGATTTTTAAAATCTAGATTTTAAGGTATTGAATATCTTGGTTTGGTTTATATCACCAATTTTAGGTCATGATCTTCAAATATTATTATTTTTTTTTATCTTTCTATCTAGAAATGCCCTACACTGAAAAAAAAAAACAAAAGTTATTTTTTCTTAAAATAAGTGCATTTGTTCTTGGATTGAGGAGGTAAAAGAGACATTTTGCCAATGGAACAAGACAATTTACACTTAAAATAAGAAAACACAATTGCATTGTCTTATTTCAAGTGCATATTATCTAATTATCTTATTTTAAGAGTAAAAATACTCATTCTATTGCCAAATTATCTAATTTACCTACTCAAATTAAGGGTAAATACACCTAATTTATGACATTTTTTACTTATTTCGAGATCGTTTTTCCAGTGTAATCTAGCAATAGGTAATCTACAGCTTCAAGTTTAAAAAAATATAATAATATAATTAATCTATCAATCCTTCATGTTTGTCTTGTTTGAGATCAGGCCATGATTTAAAAGATCCAAAAGGGAAATCTACCAATTTTTCTCCCTAGCAACACTTTCAGTCCAATTGTGAGACATCCCCAGCTCTTCCCAGGCCAGAAGGGATGTAAACCTTCTCCATCAAGTTCTGTGGTGGGATCCTCCTTGTAGAATCACCTCAGCAAACTCCTTTTCATCAGAGGCAGTTATACTCAGAAGTCTCCCAAAGCCGTTCCACTTTCTGAGGCTGAGCCTATTCAATGGAAGAAGCCTTTTCAGTAGGTCATGTTTAGGATTTTATATTCTAAGTTAGGGCCTATTGATGAGCATCAAGGCATGGTTTGCTGGTAAATCAAGAGCTCTGCATCCAGGCTATTTCACACTAATTTGCAAACCCATCAAGTTCATGCTTTGGGTTATGAAAATGCGAAGAGAATCACATCATCTGTAAAAGCAGAAATAAGTCCCTGAGGAATCCAAAACCAGACGCTCTCCCTCAGCGAGTTAAACTGCCCACAAACACCAGGCTTTACATCCGGTCCACAAACACCAGAAAGAGAGTGATAGAAATCTTCAAGAGTTTTAATTCTACTCAGTTTAAATTGCTGGAAAAATTGACAATATTTTTTAACTGTATTATCAATCTTGGACTATTGAATAAAAAAAGAAAAAATGAAATTGCTTCTTAAGCGCTCAGCCTGAAATCGATGGGGGAAGAAAATTACCTTTTGTTATTTTGTAATACAAAATTATTGGGCAAGTGACCAACTGGAATTAACATATAAGATCAATAAACGATCAGTTGTTCATATTAAGTAGGAAAAAGACTGTTAAATCAGTAGGAGGTAGGAGCTGGACCCTCTTAACCATCTCTTTCCTCTTTAACTCATTAGATACAACAGAGTGGCAATTTGGTACATGAGAAAACTGACGGTATAAGTGGATACTAGCATACAGTTTTATCCTTCAGCATCTTGTGGCTATTATCATATCCAGGACAAAATCCAGATGAATCATTAAAACTCTGCCAGTAGAATTTTCTGCTGTCATATCCTAACCTGACATAGCCGACTCTTACTGTCTGCACCCTCACTAATTCATTTAAACACACCCTAAACCAACACTAGCAAATGAAACGCGTCAGATTTCCTAACAACTGTTCCATCTTTGAACACTGTAGATTTACAGAGGAGTATTTTCCAGCTGTTGATGAGCAGGAGTGTAAAATGAAAAGATTCCAATGCATTCCTATGTCCTATCATAGATCCAGGGTGTGGTGTTCAAGACTTTTCCCTAATGTCATTTGCTAACAGTGGTATAAAAAACTCAAAAGACACTAATAGTCATCCTGTTTCCAGACCTATAGCGATCCCAACATGTTCAGCTCTTTTGTGGCTTCTATGTCAAAGTAAAAAAAAACTGCTCGTGAAATCTTCTTCAGAAAGTCTAGACTGTTGTCGATGGGCATGGACTAGTTACCAGAAAAAAGCTCCAGTTTCCAGAAGTTCTGGTTCTAGACCATAAACACCTCTAAATGATTCAATTATCAGAGTTTTCTGGTGTTAGAAATACACTGTGTGCAGAATTATTAGGCAAGTTGTATTTTTGAGGATTATTTTTATTATTGGTCTGGAATTGTGTCAACCCAACCCTAAAGACTCCTTAATATCAAAGTTTCATATTTTAAGTTGATATGTTTTCTTTTTTTTTTAGATTTGGCCATTTTATGAGGATGTCTGTGTGTGCAGGTAAATATTGCTGTACAGAATAATTAGGCAACGTAGTTAAAAAAAACTTGTTTATTTTTACCAGGTAAACCAATATAACAACTCAAAATTAAGAAATAAACATTTGCGACAATCAAAAACAAAAAACACCATGATGCTCAAAAGCCTTCCATCCATAGAACCTGTCAGTGTCTTGATCTGTTTGCGATCCACGTTGCGTGCAGCAGACACCACAGCCTCCCAGACACTGTTCAGAGAGGTGGACTTTTCCCTCCCTGGAGATCTCACATTTCATGAAGGACCACAGGTTCTCCATGGGGTTCAGATCAGGTGAACAAGGGGGCCATGTTATTATTTTTTTCTCCTTCTAGACTTTTCCTAGCCAGCCATGCTGTGGTGTATTTTTAAGGCGTGTGACAGAGCATTGTCCTGCTTGAATATCATGTTTTTCTTGAATGATGGCGACCTCTTCTTGTTCCGCTGTTTGAAGAAGGTGTCTTCCAGAAACTGGCAGTAGGTCTGGGAGTTGATCTCGACTCCATCATCAACCAGAAAAGGTCCCACAGGCTCATCTTTGATGATACCAGCCCATAGCATCACCCCACCTCCACCTTGCTGGCGTCTGAGTCAATAAGGAACTTGCTGCCCTTTACTGATCCATCCTGGTGCCCATCCATCCATCTGGCCCATCAAGACTCACTCTCATTTCATCAGACCTAAACACCTTGGAGAAATCAGTCTACGAATATTTATTTGCCCAATCTTGATGTTTACTCTTGTGTGTCTTGATCAAAGGTGGCCTTTTTTCTTCTTTCCTTACCTTGGCAGGTCCCTGAGTATTGAGCACCTTGTGCTTCTCGGCGCTCCAGACATGTTGCAGCTCTAAAATATGGCACAACTGGTGGCTAATGGCTTCCTGGCAGCTTCACGCTTGATCCTTCTCAATTCATGGGGAGTTATTTTGCGTCTTCTTTATTCAACAAGCTTCTTGCGATCCTGTTGGCTATTTGCCATGAACCGCTTGATTGTGCGATGATCCCGCTTCAAAAGCTTGGCAATTTCCAAACTGCTGCACACCTCTCTGAAAGACATCTGACAATTTTTGACTTTTCAGTCTTTTCTGACCCATTTTGCCAAAGGAAAGGACGTTGCCTAACAATTAAGCACACCTTTTATAGGGTGTTGATGTCATTAGGCCACACCCCTTCTCATTAGAGAGATGCACACCACCTGATTTACTTAATTGGTAGTTGGCTTTTAAGCCTATAATGCTTGGAGTAGGACAACATGTATGAAAAAGATGATGTGGTTGAAATACTCATTTGCCTAATAATTCTGCACACAGTGTAACTCACTATGACACAACACTGCTCCTCGTAAGTCTGAAGGGACATGTAAGGAGCCTCCCTCGAAAAAAGAGATTTTTTTTTCTCAAGAGACTCACTTATAAAATAAAGGTTAGATAAATAATAAACAAAGAAAGCTGCCCTAAAAGTCTCTTTATTTAAGCTAATTGGTGATACCAAGGATAACAAAAAGGTACAGATCGTCACAGCCTTTCAAACAACATGTTGGATACGCTGAGTTTTGAAGGGACTCCTGAGACCTGAAATGACTGATTGGAACCCCTGGGAGCCGTACTGGATACTTGGATTGGTTTGAGACATCCCTTAATTAAGCATATGTGGCAAGCTTCAAAATAAAGTCAAATACAAACCTCTCAATTCAGAGTGTGGCTTATATTGTGCTTCTAAGTGTATTGTATTTGTGCTCCCCCATGATTTGACAATTTGGGTGACAGTAATTAAAACTAAATGCACAATCATATCTGTTTTATCCAAAACAAATATCCATTTTGACTAAAAATAGTCTTACCGTAGTTGGTAAAACAGTGTTTACTTCCAAAGTATTTACTGATTAAAACAAATAATGAGAAAACACAACTGATTGTTTTTTTTTCTTTTCTGGTTCTGTACATACGATTATTTTTTATTAATGTAATTTGTGCATTAAATTCTGTAATTTTAGTGCCAGAGGTGCAATCTGTTATGACACATTACTTAAAGGGTTACCCACCGCTTATAGAATGGCTTTTTTGTTCACTTAATTTCTGTGCAGCCAATGAAGACATCACCATTTTAGGGAAGTGGAATGTTGGCCAAATCTACCTTTAGTTTAACAAATGTATTTCTTCAACTTAGTGTGCCACCCTACTTTTTATGCCAAGTTTGCATCCAATGATGTCATTTTTACACCTTCATTGTTTTCCCTAGAATCACAGCCTTTGTACACTAATTGCTTCTTTATTTTCTTTCTTTGGGTGCTTCCAAGGAAGGTGTTGGCTGCTCTGCTGACTGCTATGGTCATATATTCCCTCCATTTGCGCAGCTGATCACAGAAATTTCTGCTCCTACTTTAATAATGATGTCATCTAAAAAGCCTTTTCTCTATGTGCAATATTTTTTTTTGTTGTGGAATCATTTTGCATTCCTTATTGAAGGTTTTGAGATTGTTTTCCTGCCATGAGGCTTTCTTATCCTTTAAAGTTAAATAAAATCTTTTCTGTTACACTGTCATTTTTTTTCATTGAAAACTGATTATTTCATCTG